TGTTATCTGCAAACAGAAGCATCTGAAGAACCTCACTATCTATATGGATCTCTTCCATTTGGATTTTTATTACCGTAGAGTGTGTCCTCCATGTTGAATACTTTGGGTAGACATGTTATTCACTGTTTTATGTCACATTTAATTCAAATAGAGGATCACTGAACAAAGTTCTCTGTGACTGCATCAGGATATGATGCTAATATGTGGGCAGTACTTTGCTGGAGGAGAGCTTTTAAAGCTGTATTTTATACTACTTAATCTACCTAATCAAACAATTTTTTAAATCAGTAAACATAGTGAGATTTTAATTGAAGGTGTGGTCTGCTATAGAGTTTAGTCTGTTAAAACCTGCCTATTCCCTTCACATTTTCATCAAAGATACTCTTATATGCGTGAACCAAACTATTCTCAAAGATTTTTTTGAAGGTGAGAAAGTAAGTACATGGATGGGTCAGTAATTGTTCGTGTCTTCTTGGTTTTTTGAGTTTTGTTTTTGTTTTTGTTTTTGCAGAGGAAGATTTTAAAACTGCGTTTTAAAAATATATAATGTTGGGATCTTCTTCTCCTTCAGATCTTGAAAATTAATCCCTGAGAGGTGTTAATAATATTGTGTTGCTTCCAGCATGTGTCTGGTTAGGTCCAGCAGCTTTTCCCAACTTTTTCTTGAATAATATTTCTTCTTCCTCTTCTAGTATGTCAGGTATGGAGGTGTTAGTGTAAATGGAGCAGTTAGACCATTGTGACCACTTGAAAAACTTCTGGTTTTCTGGACCTAGCTTTTCTTGAGACAGGTTGGGTCGGCCTTAGTCTTTATTGTATAAAGGGCCCAGATTTGCCCGCCCTCGAGCTGATATAGTCACAAGATATAATCACAGATAATGAGGTTTTAAGGTGTTAAAATCCTGTTATCCCTTTATGAAGTCTAAGCACCCCTTAAGTTGGAAGGGAACAATGTCACCTCCTTGCTGTAGCTTTAAATAGCTAAGCCCTGGAGACAGGCAGAGGCTGATGAGAGAGCCAGCAGTGGGAAAGAATCCAGCTATTTACCTCTTCAGGAAAAGGAGAAAGGGATTTTCTCTGAGCTAGGGAGATCCTCTATCTAGGAGTTGAAGGATCAGTTCAAGAGCATTTGAGGCATAGATGAGGAAGCAATGACCACCACCCTACTTCAGCTGGACTTGGATGCAGAAAGGTAGCGCTTAAGGCTGTAGGGACCCCTGGGAACAGGGAAGAGAATTGGTTATGGATGTGAGAGAATTAACCCAGCAAAGAGGATTACATGAGGAGAGAATAGGGCTTCGGGGCCTGTAATTCTGGACTTGTGATTGGTTTCCTACATGTACCCCTTACATTGTACTCATGCCCATTCTTCCCACAGATTCTTTGTGTGTTATTAGTGGGAGAGTGCACCCCGTGTTTATCGAGGGAAGGTTTTATAGTGCTTTTACTACGCCAGTTTAGTAAACGTCTATGCAAAGAGCAAATTGTGTCTTCTGGCCTCCTTCCTGTCCCATTGAGGGGGCATAACTCCAGATGTCTTGAATGAATCTGTATGCCTTCCCTTGTGCGAGGTAAAACATACTGAGTAAAAGCCTCTTACTTTTAGCTTCGTTGGCCGATCTACCTCGATCAATGGAGGCCTCAGAAGTTCCTGAAGCAGCTGTGATGGACTGGTGACAAGAGACCCGTACAGAAACTCTGGCAGATGTTTTGTTTCACTTCTACACGTTCTTTCCATTTGCATAGATGTTGTGGGCCAAGATAATGGTGGAGCTGGGGAGGCCATGGGCCAGGACCCTTGTGAGCAAAGAAGCAGTGAGGCAGAGGACGGACAGTCGGGGCTAGCTTTGTCCCCAGCTGACTTGACCTGGCACCCAGCCGTGGGCTCTTCGGGCAAGAAGAACACGGAAGCAGTTTCTAGAACTTGGGTGGGGAGCTCCTGACACCTCCAGGAAACCTCCTGACTTGATTTTATCTGTTGATATCTTCTTGAATTTTTTAACCACTTTGGGAACTGATTTTATGGGATGATGGTGGTGGTGGGATTTGAATATATTTTTATTAAATGCATTATTTGTTTGACCCCTTGGGCTCTGAGTGACCCCATTACATCAGATATGGAATAACAGCTTGGACCATTGATAAATGCTCTTGTGTATGTGTAGGGGATTTGGGGAGGGGGAGAGAGAGGAGTCATCTAGCTTAGATGAGTCTCAGGTCAAGTTTTCTGTAGGCTTCTGTCCCACTTTGGGCTTTTTTGAGGTTTTCTAAGATAATTACTTGTAATCTTCCATCATCCTTCTGTATGATGTCTTGAAAGTGAGCTTGTACTCTGAACTGGGGTTGCCCTTGGTTACCAGGCCTCCCCGCTGAGCAAGGAGATCTTATTTCCTGGGCTTTGGGGGCTTCATTTGATACTGATTATTGCCATTTCTTAGAGACCCATTTCCTGTTTTTGCAAATCCCCAGCTTACTTAAATAGGTCCCTGTGGAGCTGCTGTGGTTGTGTGCATTGTCATCTTTCTTCTTTCTCCTATTTTGCTTATCATTTTAATCTTTGCTTATGATCTGAGTAGACAGATAGCTGATATAGCTGACTCCGAAATGACTTCGGCTCTCTTCTTGAAGAAAGTATTCTTTTGATATAGGGTAAGGATTTTGAACCATTTCCAAGCCTTGGACTACTTTCCTTTCCTAATCTGAGCCATATTTTCCAATGTTGTGTCTACCTCTGCATTGAAGGCACAGAGTGTGAAGGTAAGTGTTAACAGAGTCAACTTTGGTGGTTTTCATTAGCTCCATCCTAGGATTTTAATTCTTCTTCAACCTCGGCAACAGGTGTTGGCGTATGAGCTCTGATCATCTTCATGGGAATCTTTTTGTTTTTGCCCACCACAAACACTGCAATTTGTTGTTGCCTTTGGGTGCCAAATGAAGTCAACTCCTCTGTTCACCTTTCTGAGGTCACCTTGTGAGTTATCCTTCCTTTTAACTACAATTTGCACATGGCACTCCATCTCCTGACTCTGTGTCTTTTTCCTGACTGTCCCACAAGCCTGAAATGCCCTGCCCCCTCACCTCTACCTCCTGGCTTTCTTCAAGACTCAGTTGAAGTCTGAGCAAGATTTCTGCAAGAAAGTCTTTCCCACCCCCATTGCTACTTCATTTCCTCTGAGATTAACTTTAACTTAACTCTACACACTTGCCTATATGTATGTATAAGAGCTATATCTTATATGTACACAGTTGTTTGCATGTTATTTGCTGCATTTTCACTGGTTGTCCCCCATGCCTGGAATGCTCTCCCTCCCCTGCTCCACCTGCCAAACAAAGGATTTTCTATTTGATCCTGAAGGTGATAGGGAGCCACTGGAGTTTATTGAGTAAGAGGGTGACCTGATCTTTAGGAAGATCACTTTGACAGCTGAATGGAGGGTGAACTAGAGTGGGGAGAGACCTGAGGTGGGCAGATCCACTGGAAAAGTCCAGGTATGAGGTGATGAGGGCCTGCCCCAGGGCGGTGGCAGTTTCAGAGGGGAGGAGGGGCCATGTTCAAGAGATGTTGCAAAGGGAGAATCGACAGGATGTGTGAATAGAGAGAGGAGAGGTTGGGTACAAGAGATGTTGTAAAGGGAGAAACAGCAAAAGTTTATCGACTGATTGGATATATGGGGAAGAGAGTGAGGAATCTGGGATGATGCCAAGGTTATAAACCCGGGAGACTGGTGATGCCTTAGCATCATCCCAGAAGTTTGGAAGAGGGGAAGGTTTGTGGAGAAACAGCATGAGTTCAGTTTTTTTTTTTTAATGAGTTCAGTTTTTGACTTGTTGAGTTTAAGATGTTTCTGAGATATCCAGTTTGATAAGCATTTTGTGATGTGAGATGACAGAGCTTAGCACCTAGTTGGTGAGAAGAATTAAAAAATTAAAATTGGAACACCCCTGTGGAACACCTGTGTGTGGAGCAGCCCAGGATAATCCATATCTCCCTACTCCCCACCCCAACTGAGGGTGCACTTTGTGCAAGTTTCTCAGGCTTGGTCTGGGGTAATTGACCTAGTTACAAAAATTCCTATTTCTGATTTTGAATGTACTCCCCTTCCTCTTTGGATCCTTGGACTCGTGGCATGTTTAGAAACTTGGCAGAAGGGTTGTTTTGTATGGAGTTTACAGCTACCACACTAGCTTTGGGCTCTTTCTAGGAGGTCTAACTAAACTTTGAAGTTTGGGAATTTGGGGTCTTCTAGTGGCAGCTGAGAATCCTCCACGGTCTAAAGTTATGACACATCCCTTCAGAAAAACCAAGTCTACAAGTAACCAACCTTTGCTGTTTCTTTTGGGAGGGTTTTGAATTCTGAATCTCCTCACTGCTCCCCAGAATCACTGGAGACTGTCAGAATCTCAGCGAGAGTACTTACATAGCAGTATGTACTTGTAGTTAAAGCAGGACCCTGGCGGTCAGGGTCCTGCATGTTCCCCCTCCTCTTGTAACACAGAGTTCCTATATAATCTTGAGGAAGTCATTTCATCAGGGAGACTCTTGTTTATTCAATTGCAAAATGTAATTCATAGTGCCTCCCGGGAGTTTTGTGAGGCTTCATTAATAAGTGTTGCTAATGAAGTTTGATATCCTCTGATTAAAGCATCTGTTTATTTTTATTATTGTGTATTTCTATTTCTTAGTCTGTCAAAATATGTACGTTAAGTAGTCTCTTGTAAGCATGAATTTTTAAAAATAATAATACTGATTAGAATATACTAAAATGAAAAAAATCATAGAATAATAGTCTTAATTGAGTTAACATCTTCAAAGGGAATTGTGATTTACATCAATTAGAAAAGGGTTGCTTTTGTACTGCTGATGCTCATATGCTAATTGATGACTAATCTGTTATTGTGTGAAATTTAAAAAGTTTCCTGTACCGTGTTAGCCTATGCCTTTGAGGCCATGCAAGAACATGTAGAATTTGAAAAATTAAATATTTCTTTTTAATTTGTAGCCAAAGCTATGAGATTGGGAAGCTGGATAAGAACATTTCTACTGGCCAAGAAATGCAGGTAAAGAATATGCTAAGGAATTCATAATTTGATGAAATACTGAAGTTATATCACAGACGTAAAATTATAGTCATCACCTCAGAAATTATCTGCGAGGGGTTTTCGGGGTGATCAAATTGTTTAATAACTCAACTTTGATAAATGATATTTTATGACAGAATGCATCCAGGTGGGTGAAAAGTGCAGAGAATACAGATTTCACTCTGCTTATTGCCTAGGAAATAATGAAATCATTAGTCTCCTCTTTGGAGTTTCACAACACAACATTTGTTTTGTGCAGATCCTCGTTGTGGCAGCCACTGGCTTCTGGTTCACTCTTTTTCCCATCTCAAGGAAGTTCAGCATCTGGCTTGATGTGTCCTCTCCTCTCCCATCTCTGTCCTCAGACCTGAGGACATAACCGGTGTCACTAGCCCTTCAGATGTTCATTCGGCTCCACTAGACCTTCATCTTCTCTTTCTTTCAGGAGGGGAAACTCCTTCAACTTGACGATCATCCTAAAATGATCATACTTCGTACTCTTAAACTCTTAACTTAATTTCTCTGATCATAATCGCCCAACTTTCCATCTCTCCCTTTGCCTTATTCTTCCTAATTGTTTTTTCATTCTTTTTTTTGGCTAGGCAATGGGGTTAAGTGACTTGCCCAGGGTCACACAGCTAGTAAGTGTTGTGCGTCTGAGGCTGGATTTGAACTCAGGTCCTCCTGACTTCAGGGCTGGTGCTGTATCCACTGCGCCACCTAGCTGCCCCTGTTTTTTCATTCTTGCTGTAACCTTAACCTCCCCTGTTCTCCCAGTCTGTCACTCTTGCTCTGGCCTCACTTTCTTCTCTTCAGGTTCTTGCCCCTAAAGTCAACTACTTCAACTCTACCTTGCTTTTCACCCATGAATCTCTCATGTCCTTGTCTCATGCTTTGTCATCATTCAAAACTGTTATGCCCCCACGAACGTTGAACACACCCATTCTTAAACATTGCAATTCCCCTTTCTGAGCACAATATCCTTCTGTCTTGCCCTCCGCCCCACTTCCTTAGTCCCTTGTCCTGCTGTCCTTTACACACTCAAGCTCCGACCAAGGATCATCCCCACAATCCCCATGCCATCTGAGTTCACTACCAATGCATGTTGTCTAATCTATTGGTTGGTCCTTGCTGTGGTACAATAGTCTTCTTTCCTGTTTGATTTTCTGTCGTGCTCTCTGCAGTGACTATTCCAAAGCTTTGCTAGTCTCCTCAAATCTCCCCCTCTGCCACCCCCACTCTCTAAGCAGATAGTTTCACTACTGGGGGCAGCCTGACAACATGGAACATAGCCTGGATTTGGTATCTGAGGACCTGAATTCAAATCTCAGCTCTGATACAGCCTGTATGACCTACCTAGTCAATTACCTTTTCTGGGCCACAGGCCCCATCTGTAAATGAAAGAAAATTGAGGGCACCTGTTGCGTGATTCCTTCCTTCTCCTACTCAGCCCTTTAGTCCCTTTCTATATCATCATTTGGCCCCTCTTCCTTTTTGCCACTTCCAGAGGGATAAACTGGCCTTTCTCTTTGTAAAGGTTAACATTTCTACTTTTAAAAACTCAATTTTGACATTATTTTCAGTTTCACATTCTCTCCTTCCTTCTCCCTTACCCATCGACAAGGCGAGAACAACAGAGCCCATTAAACATAATAATAATAGTTAACACTGATATAGTGCTTACTATGTACCAGGCACTGTACTAAGTGCTTTTACCATTATTATCTCATTTGATCCCCACCACAACCCTGGGAGGTAGGTGCTATCATGATTCCCATTTTACAGTTGAGGAAACAGAAGCAGTCAGAAATTAAGTGACTTGCCCAGGGTCACATGACCAATACGTGTCTAAGGCTGGATTTGAACTCGGGTCTTTCTGGTTCCAGGCCTAGCACTCTATCCACTGTGGCACCTAGTTGCCTATATGTATAGTCATACAAAACAAATTCCTGTGCTAGCTATGTAAAATAAAATAAAATAGAGTAAAAGAAAAGAATAAAAAACTGCCTCAATCTTTCTTCTTAGTCCATCAGCTCTCTATGTGGAGGTGAGTAGCATGTTTCATCTTGAGTCTTTTTGGAATTGTGGTTGGTCATTGTGTTGATAAAAGTTCCTAAGTCTTTAGAAACTTTAGAACTGATTGTCTTTACAGTCTTGTCACTATTGTATAAATTGTTCTCTTGATTTTGCTCACTTCACTTTGCATCAGTTCATATAAATCTTTCCAGGTTTCTCTGACGCTATTCCTTTCATCATTTCTTATAACATAAGAGTTTTGTGATTCCATCACAATCACATGCCATAATTTGTTCACCCATTCCCCAGTTAGTGGGCATCCCCTTATTTTCCAATTCTTTGCCACCACAAATAAAGCTACTATAAATATTTTTGTACATATGGGTCCTTTTCTTCTTTCTTTGATCTCTTTGGGGTATAGACCTAGTAGTGATTGCTAGGTCAAAGGGTAGGTACAATTTAATAGCTTGTTGAGCATAGTTCCAATTGCTTTCCAGAATGGTTAGATCACTTCACGGCTCCACCAGTAGCGCATTAGTGTACCTGTTTTCCCACGGCCCCTTCGGCATTTGTCATTTTCTTTTTTTTGTCAATTTAGCCAATCTAATGGGTTTAAGGTATAACTCCTCAGAGTCTTTTTTGTTTTTTATTTTTACTTCTCTAATTAGTGATTTAGGACATTTTTTCATATGACTGTTGGTAGCTTTGATTTCTTCCTCTGAAAACTGCCTATTCGTATTCTTTGACCATTTATCAATGGGGGGGATGGCTTTTATTCTTATAAATTTCAATCAGTTCTCTATATATCTTAGAAATGAGACTTTTATCATGCTGCAAAGATTCCCCCCCATTTCCTGCTTATCTTCTAATTTTAGCTCCATTGGTTTTGTTCGTGCAAAACCTTTTAAATTTTATGTAACCAAAATTGTACATTTTACCTTATGAACCTCTCTATGTCTTGCTTAGTCACAATATTTTTCCCTGTCGGATCTGATGGGCAATTTCTTTCATGGTCGTCTAATTTGCTTATGATATCACCCTTTATGTCTAAATCACGTACTTATTTGGAGCTTATCTTCGTATAAGATATTCTTGTGAGATGTGAGATATTGGTCCATGCCTCATCTCTACTAGGCTCTTCCAGTTTTCCCAACACTTTTTGTTGAGTTCTTGCCCCATAGCTGAGGTCTTTGGAACCCTTCTGCTTTTGTCCTTCATCCCATCCACTCACCATCTTTTCCAGGAGCTTGCCCCGTTGATTATTTTCTTCATTTCACTTTCAATCTCCCTCCCTCCCCCCCTCCCCCTCCCCCCTGTCTCCTCCCTTCCCTGCTACCTTCAAATATGCTTAGTTCTCTTCCATCCCAAAACCAAAAACCTCTTCCCTTAACCCTTTATCTCTCTCCTCTTTCACTCTTAAGCTCCCAGAGTGTCATCAACACTCCCTAGCTCTGCTTCTTCATTATCCATTCACTTCTCTGCCTCTTGCAGCGTCCCCTCAAAGGTTATAAATGACTGAATCTGGCCTTTTCTCGTTCCTCATCCTCTTTGAGCTTTCTGCAGCTTTTGCTGCTCTTGACCACTCTCTCATAATGTACATTCTCCTTGGCCAAAGTGCTGCTGTCTTACCCAGGCTCTCTTCCTCTCTGTGATTTCTGGATTGGTTTTCAACTCTGATTTTATGGATCCTGGAGTTATAGCCACTCTTTTTGTGATCATGGTGGGATCTTTTTCACATGAGTTCATCACAGCTGGTGTTAATGTGACTCCTCTTTTGCAGACTGCATTCTATTCTGTGCAGGCTTTCTTTAAGAACGAGGCAGTATGCAGAGTGGGTAGTGTTAGACCTGGAGTCAGGAAAACCTGGGTCCAAATACTGCTTTCAGTATTTGGGTGTGACCTTAAAAAAATCATAACTTCTCTCGGCCTCAGCTTTCCCATCTACAAAATGAGGGTGATAATAGCGCCTACCTTACAGTATTGTTTTGAGGATCAAATGAAATAATGTATATTAAGTGCTTTGAAAACTTGAAAGTCGGCTGTTATTACCAGAACTGTTAGAAACACTTCTCTCCACAATCATATGCTTGCTAGCAAAACCGAGCATTTAAAGGAAATGGACGATGACCTAATAAGAATAGGAAATACTCCAGTTAATAAATATAATATGAATTTAGAGATCTTTACCTAATCTCAGAAAATGAAACTGAATTAGCCATAAAGGAACTACCAAAGAGGGGAAAAACCCTGGTCTGGAGGGATTTATAGATGAATTCTGGCAAATGTTTAAAGAACAATTACTCCTTATGCCACACAGATTATTTTCAAGAAAACACTTTCTACTAAACTCCTTCTATAAGAAAAATATAGTCCTGCTACCTAATCAAAAAAAAAGGAAAACTATAGATCACTATCACTAAAAAATGTTGATTCAAAATTTTTAAATAAAATTCTAGCAGAAAGACTCTGGCAATGTACATGAAACATTGTTTACTGTGACTAAATTGGATTAACATCAAGGATTTAAGATGGTTGAACATTAGGAAATCAATTAATATAATTAATCATTGAAATAAAGTACCCTTAAACCCTATGATTATATCAACAGATGCATAAAATGCCCATTTACTTATGCTAAAAACCCTGTAAAGCATAGGCATAGAAGGGCCATCAAAATATGATAGCTGATATATATCTAAAACTAATAGCATTATTTATAATGGGGAAACACTAGAAACTTTCCCCAATAAAAACCAAATTAAATCAAATTTAACTTATTTGACACAAATTTTAGCAATACAAAGACAAAAAAAATAAAGAAATTAAATGAATTACCACATCCAAACAGGAAAAAAATTATACCCATTTGCTGATGATATGATGAAACTTAGTTTCTTTCCTGATTTTCTGAGGGTTTCTAATTAAGACAATAGATTTAGTAAAATAGGATGCAAAATGCATCCACAAAAATTGATAGCACTTGTATATGGTAATATAAAAATCGGAGGAAATAATAAAAAGGGAAAGTTCCATTCAAAGTATGTACAATATATATAAGCTATCTGGGAGTCAATCTATCAAGACATATTAAATCAAGACTTGGATAGGTGCAGATATAAACATTCTTTTAAAAAATAAAATGAGAAAAATAATTAGAGGGATAGTTATTGCTCATGGTTAGGCCATACCACTATAATATGTAGCTCATACTCTGAAGCTACTATCACGGTTCTTGCTCTCATTTGATCATTTGGAGTGTGGCTGCTATCCCCTCTCAGGATTTTAAGGGTAGCTTTGAGGACTTGAAGGTCTGTTTTTTCTAATTCTAAAGTTCTTGAACCTCCACTGAAATACCTTACTGCTGCCCTGCTCCCTTCCCTCCATTATCAGTTAGCCAGAGTTAATTAGCTTTTTTTGAAAGGAGTATTTTCTAAGGTCCTATATAGTAAGAATATTTGGTATAAAACATGCCCCCCCAAAAGTCTGGCACACATTCTCTCACCAAAACACAAAGAATCCAGGGAAACGTGGGCTCAAGCTTAGAGAACACTTATGGCAAAGAGGTCTGGTCCTTCATAGCTTCTGGAAGTCCTTCAGCTGAAGTCCTCAGGCTGTTCGCCTTAGATGTGACTTAGCTTGACTGCTGGACTCTTTTGTGGAGCCTTGAATCTGCTTTTCTTCATCAGCTCCCAGGGCAGATGCTACTGCCAGCTGCTGCTAGCACCAGTGAAAAAGTCTCAATCCTCTGGACCCTGTGAAGCTTTCAGGGTCTTCCTTTGGCCAGAGTAGGGGGTGGGTGAGTGAGAAGGAAGCTAAGATGGGGGCTCTGCCCCACTCTTCCTCCCACAATAGCTTTCTTCTCATGGGTTTAGCCCCAACACTTTCTCTTCTGCATTCTCCCAGGCACTTGAATCTCTGTGACCTAAACTGCCTTGGTGTTTCATAAACTACTCACAGGATGAGCGTTTACTCAGCCAACCCGAGCATGCCTCCCCTCGCTCTTGTTGGTGTAGAACATTTTCTTTACTTAGCCTAAAGCAGGGATTCTTAACTCTCTGTGTATGCGGCCTGGTAGGCAGTCTGGTGAAGCATATAGATCCCTTTGCAGAGTCAAGTTTTTAGGTACATAAAATATAAAGGGTTTGCAAAAGGAACCAATTATATTAAAACACAACTATCAGAATATATATGTGTGTGTATGTATGTATATGTATATATATTTATGTATATATGTATATATATATGTAAGTATATTTATGTGTATATGTATGTATGTGTGTATATATCTATATCTATACCTATATCTATATCTATGATGGACCATACTACCAAAAGGATTTTTTTATAGAGCTAGATAGCACTGTAACAATTTTCAAGTTGGAAAACCAAAAGGTCTAGAATTTCAAGGGGAATGAGAAAAATAAGAATTAAGGGGGTCTTGAACTGCCAGGCCTCAAATCGTATCATGAAGCAATAAAACAAACAAACTGGATTTAAAAAAAAAAAAGAGGTTGATTATTTGGACAGATTAAGTAAATAAGATTCAGAAGAAATGAAACATAGTCCTGCGGTATTAAATAAGCCTGAGGATGGGACAGCTAGGTGGCCCAGTTGATAGACCAGCAGCCCGGGAGTCAGAAGGAACTGAGCTCAAATCCGGCCTTTGAACATTAGCTGTGTCACCCTGGCAAGTCTTAACCCTGTTTGCCTCAAAAAAAATTTTTTTTTAAAAAGCCTGAGGACACACCAATTAGTGGGATAAGTACTCTTTATTTCACACAATTTTTGTGGACAACTAGAAATGAGGGTCCCATGCAAATTAGGGTTAGACCCATATATCATACATCCTATATCACAATAAGTTCTGAATGAAGACATGACCTAAAAAGGGTCAGAAGTCTCTCCCAACTAAACAAGGGGTAGAGGCAGTTACAGGGGATGAAACAGACAATTTTGATTACATAAAATACATAATCAATGTAGCTAGATTTAGAAGAACAACAGTTAACTGGGGAAAAAATCTTTGCAGCAAATTTCTAACAGTATGATATCCAAGATCTATAGGGAATTGATATAAAACATGTATTTAAAAAGTACCATTCCTAAACAGGTAAGTGATAAAAGGATAGGAACAGTTTTCAAATGTGTGATGTCAACAACATGAAAGAATGTTCCAAATCTGTGATAAAAAGAGAAATGCAAATTCAAACGACTCCAAGGTTTCACCTCTCATGCCATCAGTTCCTCAAACGGAATAGCCATTTGAAGAAGCATCCGTGCCAGCCATGCTCATCTGAAATCTGGGCCCAGTTCTTGTCGACCTGGATGACTTCTCCATCTTGTTCTCACGTTCCCTTCACTCCTCCGTCTCAACTCCCTTTTCTCTATTGTCTTCCCCCTTTAGACGGATGTTCCTTGAAGGCAGGGATTGTCTTTCTTTTTGCTTGTATTTGTATGCTGTTAGATGCCTACTATGTCTAGGCACTGTGCTAAGCTCTGGGGATACAAAAAGAGGCAAAAGATGGTCCCTGCCCTCAAGAAGCTTATAATCTAATGGAGGAGACAACATGCAAACAAATATATATTGTAAGCTGTGTGTGGGTGTGGGTGGGCATATTACATTTATAAATAGGAAATAACAGAACGAAGACACTGGAATTAAGAGGGATGGGGAAAGGTTTCTTGTAGAAGGTGGAGTTTTAGCTGGGACTTAAAGGAAGCCAGGGAGGTGAGTAGTGAGAACAGAGAAAGGAGAGCATTCCAGGCCTGAGGGATGGTCAGAGAGAAGGCCCAGAGCCTGAGCCACCTTGTTGTCTTGTTCGTGGAACAGCCAGGAGGTCAGTGTCACTGGATTGAAGAGTACATGGCCAAGAGTAAGGTATAAGAAGACTGGAAAGGGAAGAGGGGACAGGTTATGAAGGGCTTTGAATGCCAAACAGAGCATTTTGTATTTGTTCCTGGAGCTGATAAGGAGCTGCTGGAGTTTATTGAGTAAGGTGTGATATGGTTAGATCTTCACTTTGTGAAGACCCCCCAGCAGACTCGGGCAATAGTCCAGGTGTAAGATTTTGAGAGCCTGCACGGGGTGGGGGTTGGCAGTATCTGAGGAGAGATGCCATGAAGGTAAAAACAGCAGAACTTTCAGGACTCTTCTGGCCACTCCGATGGCTCAGGTTCAGCATTGGAACAAAACGAAACACTCATGGACCATTTAACATTGGACAAAAAAATTTACTTAACCACATGGACCCTTCCTCTGACCTTTCGCTTCAACCTCGCCTCTACCCCCACCCCCCAACTCAGCCAATCAGCTGGGACGAGTTCAATACATTAGGTCACATCCCTAATTCTGTGAAGTTCTCTGGGCTTCTGGGGAGGTTAAAATGTTCTTTTTTCAAGTGCCTCGCACTGAAAGGCCTCAGCACAGTTCTTAATACCCTTCTCCCAACCCCCCAATGCCATATAGAGATGCCGAGCACTCCATTCAGCACGATCCTTAGACAATCCCCAAATTAACAGCCTTCAGGAAGGACCCAAGCCCAAACACAGCTGGTGGGTCCCAAGAACATAATCACCCCCACATGCAAAGTTATTCAAATTTAGCAGGCTCTATTTTACATTGTTTATCATCTTTAGGGCATGGTTCTTAAAGACCCAAAGCACATTTCACATCTGTCTCTGGTTGTTCAATGTTAGTAGATAGCTTACTTCCTAATCTTACTAGGTCAGTAGGGTTCTGGTTCTATCCCACTGAGAAGACTTGCAGTATTTATATACCCAGAAGTGCCATCAGAAACATGGTGGCCATTGGGTGTAAGGCCTTCTATATCACCTCATGTGATCACCTGGGGCTCCCCTTCCTCCACCTTACCCTTTCCCTCCAACAACTATGAGGTCATTCTGATTCAATCCTATGAACTAATGTGAAATGTTCTGGGCTGGGTCTGACTCAGACTGGTGTAGTGGTTCAGGCTGAGGCCTGGAATAAATTCAGACACTCATAGATTATCTAACTTTTAAAAATATGTATTTATTTCAATCAGCAGAAATCTTCCTTCTTTCCCTCCCACCCCAATCTCCCCCCACTCCACCAATTCAAAACTTTAAAAAAAAAAACAACTCTTGTTTTTTTAGGTCATACAGGTTGTATCAGAGCTGAGATTTGAATTCAGGTCCTCAGATACCAAATCCAGGTGAAGCAAAATAACTTTCCCCATTGACCATGTCCCAAAATGATGTGTCATTCTGCACTCTGAGTCCTTCACCTGTCTGTCAGGAAGTGGGGAGCACATACCATCATTAGTCTTCCGGAATCTCGGTTATCATAGGGAAGGAGAAGGGCCAGATGGCAGTCAGAAACTAGGGAAAAGGAGGAGATTGTTGAAGAGGAAAAGAATGGGAAGAGGGAGCTTATGTACAGTGCCTTTAATTTTCCTCAGTAAAGTAAGGGCAGAGTCCTCAACTGAAAGAGAAGGGGGGAGGGGGCATGAAGAGAGGAGAAATGACTTGGAACAACTTCTGTGGAGAGGGAGATATGGAATTATAGATGCAGGTAAAATATTGGGGATGAGAGGGGTGGCCACAACTTGCAAGATAAAGTCTACTCTTCTGGAATCCAGAAGTAGCAACAAGAGGTAAAAGGAAAAATCCAAGACCCAAAGAAAAAAAACAAACTGGCTTGTGCTCCTCAGTCTTCAAGCTGCGGAATACATAGTTTGTGTTCTCATCCCGGTGCCTGGCACACCGTAAGCTGCTATCAACTGCTTGGTGCCCGCCGGCCTATGCTGATAGCAAAAAGACAACAATTATATAGTGGTGTGGTGAATAGAAAGGGCCGGGCCTGGAATCTGGAAGACCAGAGTTCAAATCCTGCCTCAGACACTTCCTAGCTGTATCACCAGCAAGTCACTTTACCTCTGCCTCAATTTCCTCAGGTGTAAAATGGGATGAGAACACACCTACCTCCCAGGATTGTTGTGAAGACCAAATGAGATAATATTTGTAAAACATTTAGCACAATGCCTGGTACGTAGTAGACGCTATATAAATGCTTGGTTTTTTTTTCCCCTTCCCTCGCTAGCCTCTGCCTCAGTTTCCTTATCTGTAAAGTGAGGATTATGATAGCATTTACTTCCCAGGGTTTTAGTGAGGATAAAATAAGATATGTGTGAAGTTTTGGAAACCTTAAAGTTCTATGTAAATTAATAATTATTACTCCTTCCTACTTTTTCCTGGTGAGGATATATTAGAAGAGGTTTTTGTTCTGCTATGTTTCTGTTTGTTCCTGTTTGACCTTGCAAACAAATTTCTTCTCCACATATACAGGTTAAATAGCTGTATAAAAAAGCATTATAAGGGACAGCTAGGTGGTACAGTGGATAGAGCACCAGCCCAGAAGTCAGGATGACCCGAGTTCAAATTTGGCCTTAGACCAAACACTTGAGGCGTACTAGCTGTGTGACCCTGGGCAAGTCACTTAACCCCAATTGCCTAAAAAAAAAAAAAAAAAAAAAGGCATTTTAGGATTTGGGTACCTTCTTCAATACCAGAAGAACTTTGTGGAAGGGGGGAGGGACACCTTTATGGGGATATTTTGTACATTGTGTTTTGCCAGACTCTGCTATGGGAATTACAGAGTGACCATACATAGGTTTGATGGGCCTAGTGTCTTTCAATTCTGTGTAGAATTGGTGCCAGAATTGTCAATTCATGTAATAAGCCTTTATGCTGTTCAAAGGAAGAAAAGAATGGGGTTTTCAGAAAAGTCCTGTTCCCCCCCTCCCCACTGGAGTTATTTCTCCAATCTTTCTCATTGTGTTTACCAGTCTACCTGGGAGTGATTGAGTTATGTCCTGCTGGCATGGTTCTGGCTCCAGTGGGGTGTCTTTCATGAGTACTCCATCAACTCCTGGGATGGGTGGCACTTGTCTTTTTTTGTCTTCGACTGGGTAGGTCCAAGGCAATGCTACACAGGCTGTTGCTTCATAATAGATATTAAAATGACTCTTGATCATTATGCCTCAGTTTTCTGAGCTGTGAAATGGAGAGACCAAGGCTTTTTTAGAAAGTACTTGAATGCCTGTGAGACATTATGAAAAATAACGACTATATGTTAGATTTGATATAAAGAAGCCTAGAATGCAAAGAGTTCTGTGCTCTTCGCCCCCACCAAGATAATATCTTGGTTTGTGTTATGGTAGCATGCTGATTGCAAGTGTCTCAAATTATCCGCCAGCAATGACATCCATCCTATGGTGATGGGGGCCCTTAATGACGTCCTCTCTTCTAATCATTCTCTGGGTTGGAGAAAACTCTTATTACTGCTCGAGAGTTTGCTTCTCTCATTTTGATGCCATTTTCCCCTCAGCCATGTGTATGTCTTCTATTGTAGGCCAAAGTTCTCCGCCTGCTTGCTAATACTTACTTGGATTGGGACTGGGAACGATATCAAGGCAAGGCTCTTGAAACCGTAAACTTGGCTAATGAGGTAACAAGGCTTTATTGTTATTTTTTTAAGATGCGTACTTTGAATAGCAGTTTAACTAACTTGGAAAACTTTGATTCATACTTTTGCAATCCAATATCACAGTTTTTCTAATTATTAACAACGGGGCTGTTTCTCTGAAGACCAAAGGAGATAGATTATGTCCCTTATAATGATTCCAACTGTGTGCTCAATTCAAGTGTGATCTTTTATAAGATGCCTTTCCTGGTATTCCCCTGTTGGGAGTGCTGCCCCATCCTCCCCTGAATAATGATCTTGTCTTTATTTTGTATGTACACATATATCTGTTTACATGTCCCATTTCCCCATCCCCCCCACCCCCCACAGTGGAATTCCAGCTCCTTGGGGCCTAGGGATGTCTCCTGTTCTGTCTCAGTATTCCTGGTGCTTAGCCAAGTGTCTTACACCCAGAAGTCCCTTGAATAAATGCTTGTTGACTGGAATCAACTACCCCGATGGTGCTTATCTCAGTGTATGAATGACAAAGCATTTAAGTACTTACTAGATGCCTGAATTAGATACCCTAAACTCTGGGAATAGAAATACAAAATGCTACTGTCCCTGCCCTCAAGGAGCTAACGTTTGAATGGAGGAGACCACATAGATAGTAGGGTAGTGGTGGCCAGGGACTTGATCCCCACAGCCGCCAACTTATGTGCTCTATCCTGAAGCAATGGTAGCATTGATGTACTTACTGTGTCCAGAGCAGAAGGGGGAAGGACATGCCAGCCACAGCAGGGTAGGTGGCCAGGTGGCAGCTGAGTAGGATGTGAAGAATGGTTTGGTCTGAGGCTCCTCAGATATGGTGAGGGAGGTGAATTTATACCTCTTAACTCATCAAACAAGATAACTTAGTTCCAGGGCAGGACTTCCAAAGTTAAGTGTGTTAACTACCACAGGCTGAGGACGTAATTTCTGGAGGTGTTGTCCAGAAGGTGCTGTTCTAGGTAGGTGAAGATGGCCTAGGTATATAGCTGGATGTGATATGGAAAGAGATGCTGGTCTAAACTTAATTTTCTTCAAATAACTTTCCTAACAATTTTGATTGATTTGGAAGTCTTTCCCTCAGAATTATGTTCTTCAGCTTATAGGACCCTGGGCTAGTGGGGTTACTTGCTTTCAGATCTTGTTTAGTGATTAACTTTTCTATTTTGTTTTTTACCAGAACCAAGTAATTTTGATGATTTTTGTTTTATAATGAGGTTTGAAATCTGGTTATTCCTATTTTTTCATTATTTCCTTTTAAATTCTTGACCTTTTGTTCCTCTAAATTTGTTTTATCTGTTTCTATAAGGTAACTTCTTGGTAGTTTGTTTGGTGTACCATTCACTTTACAACTTTATAAAGTAATTCAAGTAGCATCATTTCTATTATATTGCTAGAGGGTAGTAATGAACAATTCATATCTCTCCAATTATATAAGTGGGGGTGACCTGCTCTCTATTCTACTTTTGGTTAGCTTGAACTGTTAGGAAGATTTTCCCTTTCGTCTAGATAAAAAGCTCCTTCTCTCCAGTTTCCACCCATTGTTTCTAATTCTACTCAACCTAAGTGGCACAAGTCTGATAATACCTCCTGTGACACAGCAGCCCTTCAACCAGTATTGGAATGGCACGATCCTCTAGGGCCAGGTCCTTGGCGTTTTTTTGTGCCCCCTTGGGCAGTCTCAGAATCGTGTTTTTAAATAATTGAAGGAAGTGGCAAATTTCAGTTAGAGGTTAGTGAAAATAAAGATGTATTTTTCCCCCATCCAAGTTCACAGACCCCCCTGAAATTGATCCCTAGACCCCTGGGTAAGTGAAGAACCTTCACTTTTCTGGTTGTGTGGCACAGTGTAAACGGCGTCTGATTTGGAGTCTATGGAAAAATATATATCGTGTGTTTTCTTGGTGTTCTCTTCCCTGCCTGCTGCCTTCAAAGCAGCTGTGGAAACAAGGGTCCTCCTAACTCCGACCCATAAGTAGTATGCCCTAGGGCCCAGGGTTCATGACTTATACCAGGACTCTGGGTACAAGAAGTAAGGAGGGAACTAGGAGGGGAAAATCAGGGGTTTGGGGGGGGCTATGGCCTGGGAGAGAATCCAAGATGGATTTCCCCCCTTTGCTGCTGCTTGTTACCAGGGAAGAGGCAGAAGGGAGAGAGAAAAGGAAGTGAATGGCGGAGACGAGGTGGGGGTTCTTTTATTCCCTCTTCACTTTTTCTCTTCCTCTGTTTCCCTTCTCTGTTCCTGCTGCTGCTCTTAGGAGGAACAGTATCCCTGGAGTGGCTGAAACAGCGTCAGGACGGGGCTTTCTCCCCCTCACTTGCCAGCCAGCCTGCATTCTGTTCAGAAGAAAGCAGAAAGAGGCTGGAGGTGGGGAACAGCATCAGGCAGTCGGCTGGGATCGCCACTTCCCCTTCCCCTTCCCCTTCCCCTTCCCCTTGACCCTGCTTTTCCTGGGAAGGAAAGGGAGCAGGGAGTGACGACCACGCAGGGCCTGTCTCTACTCTCCCTCTCCCCTTTGTTGTCAATGGTGCACTGGAGCAGGCTGCTTTTGTTTCTCCTTTTCCCTCCCCTCCCCTGCTGCTGCTGCTGCTGCATCCGCTGCCACCGTGAGGCAGGAAGTGCTTGGGCCTGCCTAGCTCCGCAGTGGTTAGAGCTAGAAGACAAGCTTTGGCTTTCCTCTCGGCATCCCTTCCCCTTGCTTCCACTGACCCCTGCTGGCAGAGGAGAGGAAGGAAGGGGGGGGTGCTGCAAAGGCTTCGGTTTTTTTTTTTTTCCACCTTCCTCCATCTTGTTGATGGTATTTGGGAGGGAGGAGGAGTCTGGGAGGCAGTGAAAATGGTGTCTGGGAGGATGGGACTTTGCTCCCTCCCTTCCTTTCAGGGACGGGTGCTAGAACATCTAGGAGTACGAGGGGAGGTTGGCTAAGGCATGTCTCCGCTTCTTGCTAATATTGTTGGGGGGGGGCGCAGCTGCACTGAGTCCCTATTAATGGGCAGGGTGGTACCGGGACATGTGGCTCTCTTGCCTTTGTTTCCCCCACCCCTTCCCTTTGCTGCCTCTGAAGTGCCGGGGGAGCCACGCGGAGCAGAAGGCAGCCTCCGTCAGGCTTCCTTGCCTGCTGCTGCCTTACTTGTAGTGTTCTACATTACTACCGGGGACCTGAGGCAGCTAGGGAAGAACTCAGGATGTGGTGGGGGACACAAAAGCCTAACCGCCATTTCTCCTTCTTTCCTCCTTCCGCACAGCCCAATTCGCTAGGGAAGGGCTAGAAGGAAGGAAGGGTTTGGGGGCCAAGTGCACAGAGGAGATAAGGCACCTGCCCCCTGCCCCCTGCCCCACCCCCTCCCCCAGGAAGGAAAGGCAGGGCTGCGGGGGAGGGGGGGCTGGGCCACCAGGGGCATGGCGCAGAGGGAGGAGCCTGGGGCGGCGCCACCGGGGGGGCCAATGACTCATGTAGAACATGCTAGAAAAAGGGGCAGAAGGGGAGGCGGGGCTGAGGTGCTCGCCACCGCTGTGGCGCAGGAGGAGGAGTCTGAGGAGGAGGGCTGGGCTGGTGATTGGCGGGACAGCAGCTCTTCTGCCTCTTCTCCACCATGATTGATGGTAGAACACGCTAGAACCAGGGAGGAAGGCAAGGCGGGGCTGACCCTGCTCTCTTCCCCTCCCTCTTCACAGAGGGAGGAGTCTGGGGGGAGCCTTCCTCATATCCCTTCCTCCATTTAGGTCAATGAGTAATGGGAGAATATACTAGAAAAGGGGGAAGAAGGAATAGTATGGAGAGAGAAAGGGGGTCTAGGAGTAAGTGTGAAGCCTCACTCCCTTCTTCTCACTGCTGCTGATCGGGAGGAGGGATGAGCCGGTACAGGATGGCCGAAGCTGCCCGTAGTCTTCCTCTTCCCCTTGCTGCTGCAGGCGGCAATGGCCGGGACAGCACCAGCTCCTCTCCCTTTGCCCCACTCCCTTCCCCACACTCCCTGTCCCGGCTAATTAGTGGGAGAGAACGGGCCAGGGAGGGAGTGAGGGATCAGGAGCTGGGGTTTAGCTTCGTCGCCCCTTTTCTTTCTCAGAGGGGGTGCTGAGTAGCCAGGCGGGACTTCTCCCTCTTCCTTTTTTCATTTCTGTGCCTGGTATGAGGCTTTTCCTTTCCCGAACCCGGTGGCTGTGGTAGGGCCTTTTTTCTTTCTGCCTGCCTTCCTTTTCTCTTCTCTTTTGCTGTGGGAGACACTTGGAAAGTAGGGTCCTTGCTGGAGCAGTGAGGGGGGTGTACAGGTTCTTCCCCCCTCCCCCCCTCCCCACTGCTTATTTCCCAGAATAGTCAGAAGTGTGCTTGGAGTGCACTAGATTGGTGCTCAGGAAAGCTGGTTTCTACTCAGCTCTCTCACTCGCTGACTCCAAGATCTTTGACAAATCACTCCCCTTCTGTATTAGTTTCTGAATCTCTGAAATGAAGGGAATGGCTTGATTGATCTCTAAGGCACCTTCTAGCTCTGCTGGTTTGTTAGCTATTGGACAGAGGGCTGCCAAGTGAAACAATCAGGTCAGACTATTGCTCCGTCTAGCTGCGGTGCTGGTGCTAAGGAGAGGATTCTGGGAAGAGCTGGAGAGGCGGAGTAGCCTCTCTCCTCCTGGCTGCCAGTGGCCACTGAGTAATACTAACATGTTGGAATGGCAGAGAAAGGAGGCTGGCCTTGAAGCTGGGGGTGGGGCTAGTTGGCAGCCTGATTTCCCACCCCTGGTTTTCCCTGTTCTCTTTTCCTTTCCATACCACCTGCACTTAGGCAGGAGGGAGGCACATTTGTAGAGCATGGTGCCAACAGGATGTGTGTTTTCTCTCCCCTCATAGAGTTCCCTTGGAAACAATGAGTATCAATGCAGTAAGCTGACTCGGGTGAGAAGTTGGGAGAGGGAGTCCCAAACCAAGTGGAATAAATGTTTTTCTTGCCCCTTTCTCTTGTTGCTGATGGATTTAAGTGACTTACTCAAGAGACCATGATTG